TCTCTCCCCCATGCCAGGAATGCTTTTCCTCCTCACCTCCATCATCTGCTTCCCTCAAGTACAGGCTAAAAGCCCACTTTCTACAAGAAGCTTTTCCAGATCTCTCTTAATTCTTACCATCTTACGTCTATTGATACCACCAATTCATCCTGTATATAACTTGTTTGTACATAGTTGTTCACATGCAGTCTCCCCTAATTGACCACGGGCTCCTTGAGGGCAGAGACTGCCTTTGTATCCTCAATGCTTAGTATAGTACCTGGCGCTTAATAAATGTTTGCTGATTGACTCCCAAGGAGTTTATAGTCTAGCTAGGTATATATGCAAAATTCTTACAAGGTAACTTGGGGAAAAAGTCACCAGCACCTGAGATCAAGAAAGGCCAATTATCTACGGTGGTATTTGAGCCAAGTCTTAAGGAAAACTAGGAATTCTGAGAAAAAGATAAGGAGAGAATACATTCCCAAAATTGCTTGTATCTTAGCCACTCTTCTAGTTCAGCCTTTCATGACCTCTCTCTTACTGGACATTCTAATAGCCTAAGTAGTAGGTCTGCATCCAGTTCCTGCCCCTCTCCAATCCATCTACCACCCAGATGCCGAAATAATCATCCCACTCTTCACACAAACATGTACAGATCCCTACCCTATCCCTATCTCTATCCTTCAAACCCTCTCACTTGACCTTACCATGCCCTTAAGCTATCATCTTATCCCTTTCTTCGCTTTCACAGCAGATCACCTAAAAAAAACCTCCTAGCCTCCACTTCCTCTCTTCTTTCTCACTTATTCACCCTTGCCACCTGGCTTTGAGCACATCACTAAACTTAAATTCCTTTCTCCAAAGTTACCACTGATCTTTGAATCTAATGGCCTTCACTTCATCCTTACCTTTCTAGAGGCCTCTGTAACACTACTGAGCATGCTCCCCTCCTGTCTCTTGATTCTCTTCCTACCTGTCCAGCTGCTTCTTCTTGGTCTCCTCTGTTGCATTGCTGTCCAATATCATCATCAATATCCCCCGACTAAGGGTTACCCCCAGGCTCTGTCCTAGGCCCTCTTCACTTCTCTGACTACATTCTCTCTCCTGATTACCGCACCAACTTCCAGGGGTTCAGTTATCACTTATATTCAGATGATTCCAGATCTAGAGAACCACCCTCAGTCTTTCTCCTGAGCTCCAGTCCCACATCATCAGCTGCCTAATGGACACTCTGACCTGGATGTTCTCTAAGCACCTAATTCTGTTGAGAACACAACTCAGGATCTTTCCTCTCCTCTTCCAAATTTCCCTGTTCCCAACAAGGACACATCCCATCCTTCCATCCCTCAATTCCTTGCTCTCTCTTCAGTCTGCCTATTTAAGCATTTACTAGATCTTGTCAATTCAGCCTCAAAAGCTCCCCTCTCCATACTCACTCAGCCCAAACCAAAGTTCAGGTCCTCATCTCTTACCTGGACTATTTCAATAGCCTCTTACCTCAAAGTTCTCCCCTCTCCAATCCATGCTCTACATTGCTGCCAAAGTACACGTCTGACCATGTCATTCCCCTGCTCAACTAACTACAGCGGCTCCTTCCCTAGGATCAAATGTAAATTCTTGTTTGTCATTTAAAGCCATTCATTCACAACCTGGATCCAATCTACCTTTCCAACCTTTTGACCTATTATTCCCTTTCAGACACTCCTGTTCAGCTGAGCTGGCCTTCTCATACCACGCATCCCATCTTCCCTCTTTACACTGTCTGTCCGCCATGGCTGAAATGCTCATCCCTTCTTATCTCCACCTCTTAGAACCCCTAGCTTCCTTCAGGGTTCAACTCAAACCCTCCCACTCCTACATGAAGCCTTTTCCAATCCTCATCTCCTCAGCTGCCACAGACTCCCCCATCAAAGTTACACTGTATTTACTTTGTCTGTGTACATGTGGTCTCACTCCCAGAGGCAGGCTGGGCCTATTCCATGTATCCCTGGAGCCTAGCAAGGAGTCTGACACATTGTAGACAATTAATAAATGTTTGCTTGCCTGATTCCTCAAACACACACCTGAAAATGACATTTCCCTGCTCAAAAATCTTCAGTAACTCCTTACCACCAAATTACAAACTCCTCTGCCTAGCATTTAAGTCCTCCACTATCTTTCGACTCCCTTTTTCCTATACTAATTTCACATGACTCTCCTTCAACAACTCTAACATTTCAGCCACACTGGCCCATAAGCTCTCTCCTGAACTCAACATGCCAACTTAAATGTGTGTCTGAGCCTGGGGTTGTCCAATAATCAGTAATGACCCCTCGCCTCCACCTCCTAGACTGAAGAGCTATCTTCAAGGCTTGGCTCAGGGACCAGTGCCCCCCCACACCCCAGTGTGCCTTTCTCTCCTCACTTCATTCACACTCTCTGCCCCATCAGCACTTTCTCCTTTCTCAAACTACCCTGTCCTCACTTCTCTGAATGTCTATTCTATTTCTTCAGCACAAGGCAAGCTTCATGTTGCTGGGCCATTCACATTCCCAGGACCATTCACATAGCAGCTACTTAACAAAACACCTGTTGGGATGAACTGACCAGTATGAGGTCTCCACGTTAAGTGAGGGCCTCACGGGCTGGTACAGCAGCGAGAGCTCCAGAGAGAAGGCCAGCTTCCCAACACCCCTTCCCTGTATGGCTTCACCTTCTCTCTGGGCCTCAGTTTCCTCTGTCTGTAAAGCGGAGGGCTGGGGAGGACTGGCCTTTTAGGTTCCTTCCTGGACTCAATGATATAAGCCAATGAACTGGCACCAATGGAAGGGGAAAGCCCAAGGTGTGGCTGAGTCAAAAACACCAAGAAGTGTCCAGCAGAACTACCAGCTGAGGCTCCTCGTGAAGACACTATACAGCTAGCCCAGTACACAGCAGCATGAGGTTTTCAGAAACTTCCCCACCACCTTCATCTGATTACAGAATCAGAATCCCAGGACATCAGAGCTGGAAGGCTCCTCATTTTAGTGAGAGGAAAACTGAAGGCCCGAGGGGTTGAGAGACCTAAAGGTTTGGGTTCTGGGTTTTTTGGCTCTTCCTCTGATTCTGTGATCATAGAGAGCTCCCCCGGCACTGAGAGGCTAGCTACCTGTTCAGGGTCACGGATGCTAAAAGTGAACACAGGCAGGCTGTTCTGCCTCTCCTCTGCCACACTTCTTTCCAACTGCACCCTGGTCCTAAGAGTCAAAGCTAGGTATCAGTTCTATGACTGGAAATCAGGCCACTTTTCACTACCCCACATCCACAACGATAAAATGTGTGAAAAACAAGTCTTCTTTAGCATATAAACTAAATGAATTAAAAGCCATTACTGTGACAGCCAAGCTCTGTCATTTTAAGAGACAAACACAAAATACTGTCTTGAGTATTCAAATGAAAGAAGATCTTCAAACACTTTCATTAGTATTCTCATCTTACAATTTCCCTACAAATGTCATACTTATGGGGGACAAATTCAGCAAAAGAACATAAAAAACACAGCCCCGACAAATCACGAATTGAAAAAAGTTCACCTAAGGCAAATAAATCCACTATTAACAAGCCCCACTATTCCAAAAAATCTTGCAGGGATCTCATGTACACCAGACTTTTAACAACAACAAAAACACAAGTATGATATAATTTTGTTTCCAGCTCAAAGAATGACAGATTCCAGATTATCAACAAGTTACCAGATCTTCTTATACCAAAAAGTTCATATTAAATGTCAACATCTTATAAACATTTAACTTATTTCTATGATTTATAAAATCTCATTTTTCCTTTTATGTTTTTAGCTCAACAGGCAAAAACACTTCATTTTGTTATTTTAGATTCATTTAGCCTAACTGAAAAATCTCCTATTTAAGTATGGCAAACATGGAGGAGAATCTTAGAAAAATCTGTCTAAATGATCAAGAGCTACTTAAAAAGACAGTGAGCAAACCTAGTCCTTCACTACAGAAGCGAAGAAACGGCATCTATTTAGAACAGTGAGCAGAAGGAAGAAAGAATCAGGCTCCTGAGTGGTTTCTAGATGGACTATGATCACTCCTCATTAAAACCTTTTGGCTAGGGGAAGGGAAGGCAAGCTCCCTTTCCAGCTAAAAAACTGGTAAGAATGCTTCCAAATGCCAGCGGCAATACACGCCTGCTGCCCAAATGTCATACTCAAATGCAAACACCACCTAGAGAAATCATATATCAGTAAGTCTCAGTTCAATCCTCATCCTCTTTTGTACAAGTCATCCATGAAAAATTAATGAGTTAACGCCATTTCCAGTACAGTTCTGAATGCTACTACAAAGCGCCTCAATTTTAATTTACCACTGATTCATAAAATGTCCCCTCAAGACCCTTAACAATCGAGAGGAGGAGGAGGAGGAGAAGGGTTTTTCCTCCAGCAGACAGTCCGTCCACAGAGCAATCCCGCGCCCCAATACATCCCGGAGGCAGAGGCAAAGTGAACAATAACAAACGGTCCCAGGGAGAGCTGGCTCGAACACACACCCTCAGCCCTAGGGGCCACCCCTCCCTCCAGCCGGCAGTGACAAGGTCCGCAGGCCAGTGCCACCTGACCAGCCATCAGGAGGAGGGGGAGGGGCTTGGGGAAGCCAAACACAAAGAAAGCGGACAGCAGCCGGGGGGCGGGAGCCCCAGATGGGGGGGGAGGGGAGGCCACTGCTGCAGCGGACACCACCGCCCACTCCCGAGGCGGGCACTGGCTTGGGCGTCGGCAGCCCGGCCCCGCCCAGCCCCCAGCAGCGTGGAGGGCATGGGGAGGGGTGAGGGGCAGGGGGTGGGCCAGGATCGAGAGCCGTGGGCGCTGAGGCTCAAGATCCAAAAACCTAGGCTGGAAGCGGACCCGAGGCCCTCTGACGCGCCCTCAGGCCCATTTTACAGATGAGGAAACTGAGGCCCCAGGAGTCTTCAGAGCCTCTTCCAGCCAGGCAGAGCTGGGTCAGGGGAAGCTCCCCGAGGCCAGGGCAGGCGCCACTTACCCAGCAGTAAGACGTTCTTGCCCGATGGGAGCTTGGAGCGGGAGCGGGTGGAGACCTCGCTGAGGATGCAGGACCTGGCACCGGAGAGCGGGGGGAGAAAAAACGGGGAGCCGCTAGAGAGGCTGCTGGGGGTCAGGGAACACCCCAACCCTGGCCCAGGGCAAGAGAGGGACCCCGCCTCCGGGAAGGGGGGCGAG